GCAGCTGATCGCCTGCTTCAGCTGGAAGGTCTTGTCTCAAAACGTTTGACTTTTGACTCCCTGAATAAGGTGCCCGAGGATCCACCTTTCACTCTCTAGATGCAGCGCAGTATCAGCAATGTGGAAAAGCACCGAAAGAACCATGAACAAGGGAATGGAGAGCTTCTGGCAACAGCGAGAATATTTTCACTTACTTTTATCACTGTAGTACTAAGTGTCTCTGATCGTGGAAGAAGCAAAACCATGAGACCAGAAGCAGCTGCCTGAGTGGAGAAGGCAGCCTCCAGCACACTTTAACTCATGACTGTAAGAGGTATAGGATGGTATAACTGTGCATACGGTCCCATGAGTGCAAACTCAACATCCTGAGGAAGCATGTTGCTGGCACAGGGGCATATTTGCATTAATATATATTAATCCAGAAACATGGCAGAATACGCACAAGTGGTAACCCCAGTTTTGCTGGTTTAGTGCATCTATATTAAGGGTGTGTGCTGGTGTAATTGCCCTTCTGTCATTACACAGCTATAAATCTCCTTAATTATAGACATGGCCACCTGCACGCATTATGGGGCACCATAAGTGGTGCTGGAAGTGTAGAGCCTGGCCACAGGAGGACGTCTGTGCTGAAGTGAGGGCAGCAAACAGAGCCAAGTGGGAGGCAAGATGTCCTGATGCAGCTGAGGAGCTGGGAGGAAATCAGCAGACTGGCGCAAGTGCTCCTGGTCCAGGATATTCTGCCATGGGGCAGCATCCTCCTTTCCTTCAGCCCAGTTTGCTGTGGTGTTCCCCTCTACAGTTTACCCTGTGGTGGCCATCTGAAGCCATGGGTGGCCACTGTGGCCACCTGAAGCCTGCTGAAGACAACGTGGCCTTTTGGAGCAGGGGGCAGCAGCAGGGCAGGACAAAGCCTCCCCGGCTCCAGCCCAGCCAGGATCTCACCTGGAGGACAGACAGGCAGCAGAGACACGGGGCTGCCTGGTTCGGTGCTCGGCCTGGCACTCAGGCAGCCAAACACTGGCTTGTGAGTGTTTTAAAAATAAACAGATTGAGTTGGATTTATTTTTAATTTCGGTGAGGCTCAGGAGCAGGTCAGCTTCATGAAATGAAGCCCATTTCTTCAATGGCATTTTAAAGATGATAGCGCCTCTTTAACTTCATCTCTCATTACATTACGATGAGTAATGTGGAGGGAATGCTGGGAGGCTGCAGCCTGTCTGACAGCCCTATTGACCCAGCCAGTACAAAACAGGGAATCTCCTTTGCCTACTAATATACAGCTTGGGCCTGGAGGACAAAATCCCTTGCTCAGGTGCAGCTTTACCAAATTCCCCAGTGCTTTGTGTGGGCATAAGGGCCAAGAGGGACTGGATTAGTTTACAGGATAGAGGCCTAAATTTAGACAAGATTCAATAAGTGGGCGTAGGAAATGAAAGGAAGGAGTGAGAAAGGAAGGACAAGAATAAAACTGATAGCAATGGATACATAGACTGTATTCATCATGTCCCCACTCGTGAGCTTATTTATTTTTTTTTTTTTAATATCAGTAACCCTTCTCAGGTGTTTGCCGAACCTTCCACATATGGAATTTACCATCAGAACTGCAGGAGGCAGGAATCATCTGCAGAGGGATGTGGCTGTTAAAGATGGGGCATGCAGTGCGAAAATGGATTTCTTATGAAAACAGAAGGAATTTATGGAACAGCTGGATAAATAAGTGATTGGATATCACTGCTGAGGTAGAGGCTAAGCCAAATGCTGGCAGCGATGATATGGCCAAGCAGTTATATAAAAGGTGACCAACCTTTCCTTTAAAGGATGGAGCTTTTGTGTCTTGTACTGGGGAGAGGTGAACAGCAGAGAGTTTCAGAAGGGAGTGGAAACAGGCCAGAAATACTTTGCAGAAGTATGCTTCAAGTAGTTGGGATAAAATGTTAGCATATGTTGAGATCTGGACTTCACCTTAGGCTTGGCAATTGATAAAATTTGTATTTCCTGTCCAAAAACAATCAAATCGCAGTGCTACAACCACTGGCTGGCTATGCAAAATGCTTACCATTTATTTCAAAAATGCATTTTGAGATGATTATACACACAAAATTTATTCCCTCTTAAATAAGAGGACCTGAATCAATTTTCAATAGATTTGTTTTTACTTATAGCTATATTCACACACACACACAGAATCTCTAGGTTGGAAGAGACCTCAAGATCATCGAGTCCAACCTCTGACCTAACACTAACAGTCCCCACTAAACCATATCCCTAAGTTCTACATCTAAACGTCTTTTGAAGACTTCCAGGGATGGTGACTCCACCACCTCCCTGGGCAGCCTGTTCCAATGTCTAACAACCCTTTCAGTAAAGAAATTCTTCCTAACATCTAACCTAAAACTCCCCTGGTGCAACTTTAGCCCATTCCCCCTCGTCCTGTCACCAGGCACATGGGAGAACAGGCCAACCCCCATCTCGCTAGAGCCTCCTTTAATATACTTATACAGAGTGATAAGGTCACCCCTGAGCCTCCTCTTCTCTAGGCTGAACAAGCCCAGCTCCTTCAGCCGCTCCTCATAGGACTTGCTCTCCAGGCCCCTCACCAGCTTCGTCGCCCTTCTCTGGACCCGCTCAAGCACCTCGATGTCCTTCTTGTAGCGAGGGGCCCAGAACTGAACACAGTACTCGAAGTGCGGCCTCACCAGAGCCGAGTACAGGGGGACGATCACCTCCCTAGACCTGCTGGTCACAGTGTTTCTGATACAAGCCAGGATGCCGTTGGCCTTCTTGGCCACCTGAGCACTCTGCTGGCTCATATTCAGCCGACTGTCCACCATCACTCCCAGGTCCTCCTCTGCCTGGCAGCTCTCCAGCCATTCCTCTCCCAGCCTGTAGCTCTTCTTGGGGTTATTGCGCCCCAGGTGCAGGACCAGGCACTTGGCCTTGTTGAACTTCATACAGTTGACCTCAGCCCATCGGTGCAGCCTATCCAGATCCTCCTGCAGAGCCTTCCTACCCTCAAGCAGATATTCACACAATGTATGATATATTTTCACAAGTGTTTTTTTTTTCTTCAAAACATTACAAGATACTTAAGTCTGCCTTGTATCTGGACCCCGAAAAGTTCACTTAAACTATAAATATATAGAAATGGCACTGCTTGATTGCGGCATTCCATCTTCATAAGCTGACTATGCATCGTCCAGTTGATGACAAAAATTCCTGCCCCTCTTCCACACTGCTCTCTCCACAGCAAAGGATTTGTGCAGATGCCTTTTGCCAATTTCTGCTCCCCTAAAACAGCAGGAGAAGCCAATGACTTTGGAAGACTTAGCTGCCTGAAAAATATCTGAAACTGAGAAATTTTCATATGTAAAAAAAATAAATAACTTTAATGCTTATGATGAATTAGCTTGACTGTCTTTAGGGACTTGCTCCTAAACAGTGAAATTGTTTTTGCTCAGTTGGTCCTTGCTTACAACCTCGCTGTCTGTGGCTGAAGAATCAGGTAACAATCTGTAGCGATCTCCTCATTGTGACATACTCGTTCATCCTGTATTGGGAATCACTTGTGGAGGAAGGACAGAGGGATGAGTTTAAACCTGCATATGATTTAGGAGGTTGGAATGGAAGTCATTAGGAAAGAACAATTGTTCAGGGAGGTAATGATAGGGAAAGGCTGCAGTGCGGAATTCAAAGCTTAGGACATTCAGAAATGAAAGATCTGTGCATAGACCTCTGTCCTAAGCCAGATCCCATCTCCCTCTTTATCGGTAACCTGGGTTTTGTAGATTTTCATGTTTTTGCCCAGGTCAGTATCAAGAAAATGCTTGTAAATGATTTTTCTTTAAACAGCTTTTGAGAATTGAGAGGAACAACAGGATGTCGTCAGAATGTCCTATTTAGAAGGCAAACTATCAAACTGTTTTCAGAACCTGATCTTCTCAATAATATCTTCAGCCTCCATTATTTTTCCACATTCTAGCTCTGGATTTTTACTACTTAAGGCAAGGCTTCAGATGCGGGACATTATTTTCCTGTCCTGCCCACCCTGCAGAGTCCTGTGTTGCTGAAAAGGGACCAGCTGGAGCTCAGACAGACTGGGTTTGTCCCCCAAATTGGGTGTGATTTGCTCATTTTATAAACTGGAAAAATAAACAAACTCATAGATCACTTATCCACTTGCAATCAGAGCAGCACTGCCTGCTGGGGTACATTTTCAGTCCCTTCAGGAAGCCCAATCTTGCACGTCCTGGGCATTTCCCTTCAGGCTATCCTCCTGCCCCGTTTTCCCACTGCTGCGAATTAAATCCTGCACGGCTAACACCGCGCATTACAAGGCCCTCTCTGCAGTCTCCCACCTACTCTTCCACACCTCGATGAATTTGCTTCCTCCGCCGCCCTAGCTCTGGGCTGCCCAGCATTACCTATTCATCCGCACCCTTCCCTGCCCTTTCCAGCGTACAAAACCCAAGTCCACGCAGGGCCCATCCCCGCGCGGGGCCCACGAAACGCAGCGGGCCGCAGGCAGGGCCGGGCCCCGTCCCCAGGCCCTCTCCGGTGCCCGCTCCCCCCGGCGCCCCCAGGCCCCCCGCCCGCTCCCCCCACGCACCGCAGCCCGGAGCCGCGCGAGACAGGGGGGGCCGAGCCCTGAGCCGGGCCCGCCTCCGCCGCAGCTTCCCCCGCGTGCGGCCGCGCCCCGAGCCCCGACCCCCGGCGGCTCCCGCGACCCCCGGCGCTCCCGAGCCACCCGCGGGGAGGCCGCGGCCCGGCCCTGCCCTGCCCGGCCCGGCCGGGGCGCGGGGCCGCGCGCAGGTGGCGGCGGCCCGCGGGGAGGCCGCGGCGGCGGCGGGGCCCCTGTGGCTCCGCCTCCCCGGCCTCCTGTGGCGGCGGCGGCGGCGGCGGCAGCGGCTGCTGTTCCCGGCGCGGCCGCGGCGCTGCCTCCCCCTCCCCGGCTCGCTGGGCCGCCTGCCCCTCATGCGGATGTGACATTTCACGGCGCTTACCGCAGCCGCCATTTTGAGGCGCAGAGCGCTGGCGGCGGCCGAGCGGCACCAGCGCGCCGGGCCACGGGCGACGGGGGCGGCCCGCGGGCCGGGAGCAGCGAGCCGGGCGGCGGTGCCGGGGCGCTGGGGGGGCCGGGAGGGCAGAGGAGGGGCCCCGCGGCGCCTCCCCGACTTCGCAGCGCCGGGGACACCTCGCCGGGGGAGGGGGAAGCGGCGGGCGCAGCCGCCGGGCCCTGACTCCTGATCTCCCGGCTCCCCCCCCCCCCCTCCCCTCCCCCCCTCCCTCGTCCCGGTCCCCTCCCCTCCCCTCCGGCCCCCGGGGAAGCCGCCACCCCCGGCCGGTCCCTCCTCCCCACCCCTTTCCCCCGACCGGGTGCCGCCGCCGAGATTGGGCGAATAGCGAGCAAATACGTGCGCGTCTCGCTGCCTCCCCCGGCTGCCCGCTCCCTGCCCGCCGGAGCCCAGCCGCAGCCCCCCGAGGCGGGTGCCCAGTCCCGGCCGCTGCCCGGGCCCCGCCGCTCCTCCGCCCCTGCCCCTCCCGACGCAGGCCCGCAGCCCCCCGCGGGAAAGGCCCAGGCCGCCGCCGCCGAGCCCCAGCCCCGAGCCCAGCCCGACATGAACCACCATCAGCAGCAGCAGCAGCAGCACCAGAAGCCCGGGGAGCAGCAGCTGAGCGAGCCCGAGGACATGGAGATGGAAGGTGAGGCCGGGCCCCGGGCCCTCAACTCCGCGCCGAGTTCCCCCCCCCCCCCGCTCTCCCCCAGCCTCGCCGCGGGCTCCCGGGGCTCCCCCGCAGCCCGGCTCCCCCTCGGGCGCTCCCCTCCTCGGCCCCCAGCACCCGGCCCCGGTGCACGGGCGCCCGGCCCTTTCTCCCCTCTGCAAACATGGGCGGCCGGGGCCGGGAGAGCTCGGGCGGGCGAGTCGGCGGCGGGAGGCGCCGAGCGAGGAAAGTTGAGGCTGGGAGCAGCGTGCGAGGGGCAGGGGCGCGCAGGGGGAGCGGGGGATTGAGGGGGGGGCTCGCTGCAAGAACGCGAACCGCCGGGGGGGAGCGGCCGTGCGGCAGGGGCTCGGCTCTCCGGGGCTCCGGGAGCCTCCCGCCTGGGTCGGGGGCGCTGCGGGTGCCCGGCTCCCTGCGGCTCGGCACGGGGGGGGGGGGGGGGTCGCGCTCCCGCGGGAGGCGACGCCGATGCCCGGCGGGAGGCTGGGGGGGGGGGGGGGCGGCCCGGGGCCTGTTTTGCAGCGGGGCGGGGGGGACCGGAGGGGGCTCGGCGTTGGCCGGGGATGAATGGGGGGGGCCGGGGCCTCCCCGCCGCCCCCCTCGGGGCGGGCTCGAGCAGCGCCGGGCCGGGGCCGGGGCCGGTGCGGGGCCGCTCATTGTATGCGCGCAGCCACGCTGCTCGCCATTTTTAATTAACCCTCCTCCCGGGGTTATTTACAGCAAACGCGCCCGGCCGGGCCTAGCGCGGGGTCGGCGGGGGCTGAGCGCTGCCCATGTGTAGCGCCCGCGAGCCGCCGGCCCTCATCCTGCACCGTCATGCAGCTGCGCCGTGCTCGGGAAGGAGGCACTGCGTGTGCGGGCTGCTCCCGAGCGGTCCCCTCGGCCTTTCTCGCCTGCTGCCCTTGTTTTTTTGGTTTGGTTTGGTTTTTGTGTCCCCCCCCCCCTCCTGCAAACTACGAGCTCAGCCCCGTGCAGCTCTTTTGGGCAAGCAGCACGGCGGGGGTCGCTCCGTCAGGCAGGGCAGGCACGGCGCTGTGTGTGCCCATGGGGTTTGGCTTGGAGGTCAAAATATTGCCTAAATCTTGTTTAGGGTGCCTGGCCGTGAATGCACGCGTCTTGTTATAAGTATTTGGATTAGCAGTAAGGTAACTCGACACAGGGCATTCCACTTGTGAACCACGGAAATTGACATAGCAGATGTATATTTCTACTAAATAACAGGCCTGGAAATTACAAGTAGCAAAGGTGTTTTAGTAGGAGTTTGTCACAGTAACTGTGTGGCTCCTTTTCAAGATTAAAAGGTCATTACAGGAAGCCTTGCTTTTTTGAATGTAAATCTCTATTTCCTAAAATTATAGCTAAAACCTATTTGCTATTGAACTGATTTTTTTTTGAAAAATCTCCAAATTGGCAATTATGTACTCAGTGACCAATACAAAAGATTTTAAAAATGCTTCATATTTGTTTGTGTGCATGCATGCACACACATTAACGTTTTGTGGGGTATATTTTCCGGCAAACTTTGATAGCCTTTAGCAATCTGCTTTCTCAAAATCCTTTTCAAGTTCATAATGCTATTGACTACCTGATGTTTTTATTTTGATTTTTTTATGGGCTTGATGTTCTACCATGCTGGGCATGCTGTGAAATGCTGAACACCTTTATTCAGTTAAAAGTGCCATGCACCTCTAAGGATTGCATCCCCTGTGTCAGTGGGGAAACAGAAGCCCAAAATGCACGTGGAAGTCCCTCTGATGGTTGTGCAGACCTTATGCTCCTTTGGAGGGGCGAGGAAGCAGTCTGTGTACATCAGCACAGCATCCCTAGGAATGCAGCATTGCCTCAGAAGTCTATTTGCAATCTATTAGGTTGTGCTCAGCTGATTCAGGATGATACTATGAGCTCACTAATTTGTGAGAGTTTACTGACCCGTCTGTGTGCAAAACAAAAATTGTTCAACCTTTGGAGGCTCTTTTTAAATGCTTTTTTCCACCCCTTGAAATGTGAAGCTTACCAAATTGCGGAGATCAGGTTATTGCTAACTTTTAATAAAAGTAGATGTCCTGGGTATACATTCTATTTTGTGTAAAACATTGTTCATCATCTTATGTATGGGTGTTCGTGCTTCCACAGGAGGGATGTTTTCAAGCAGTGAGGAAAATATTTAATAGTATGTATTTAGCTTAATTTTAACGTGCATAAAACAGTGTCAGATGCCATTCTTCACTGAGTGATCACACTAGATTTAGGAGGTATGTGAAGAATGCACAGTGGAAAATTGCACTTCTTGGCTTCAAGCTATGTGAAGGCATGCTTGTTCTCTATACACCTATACTAGATGAACAGTTCTTAATGAATAAAATAACTATCAAGCAGAAATAAAAGCATGGAATTAATTCTTCAGGATTAAGCGGATATGATATTCTGAGCGTCTGCTCTCTTGTCCAAGGTTTTTCTCCCTTCCCTTTCCCTTGTGAATATTGTACTCTTCATTGATGATCTTGTGGACACTAAGTGAGAGTAGCGTGCATGGGGCTGTCAGACTTCAGGAGTGAGGGAGACATACCCTCTAGAAAGGAAAGCTGCTTAATCTCTGCATCATGAACTAAAGAAGCAATGACAGCCTGGATAAGGGGCAGGTATCTACTCCAGACGACCATGTGTGATACAGGCTCACCTTCCTCCGATTTGGCTAGAATAATGTGATGTTGTGAATCACCTCTTTGTATATGTAGTCTTCATGTGGATGTTGTGTTTGAAATCAGCTTTAGCCTTACTAAGGTACAGTGGTAGTGATGCATGGACAGAGAAGCACCGAATTTATGCGAAGTGTAGGAAAACATTTTGTCCCTTCAGCTGAACACGAGAGCTTCCTTAGTTAGAAGGAAGCATTTGCTGCTGCTGATTCTCTTCTTGTACCCTTCCCCAACATTTGTGCTAGCGCAACTTCTTGTCACCATAAAGTGATTGGAATTAATTTTTTTTTTTTTTAATGTAGCTTTGTTCTTTACTTTTTAACTTGGTTCCCCCAGCAGCCTTGTTTAGTGTTATATTAATACGGTGAAGGTTTGGCATCGGGATGGGAAGGAACAAGAAAACTGCCACCTCGAGCAGCCTATCTTTACCAAATTATGTCAGTAGTAATGGATTTTGCCAGCACCCCTCAGCCACTGCTGCATAAAGCATGTGATTCTGGTTCAGCGGCTGCCTTTGCACTGAGACAGCCGGGGAGTGTGCGCGTTGGCCATCAGTGCCTGACTTTGAGATAATTACCCTCTCAAGATGTTAATTTAGTGAATTATTCCACAGAATATTTTATTTGTTTATATACTAGATAAGTTTAGTGGAAAAAACAAATACTATTTTTTTCTGTACTGAAGGTAGGCTACGTAGGCTGCTTTGTCATGCAACAGTTAGGGCTGCTCAGTTGCTGGTGAACTGCTCTGAGAGGTGTAATCAAACCCAAATCCCCCTGTGTTCTGTATGCCTCCTTGGGAACTTCTTTGCACAAATGTTCTCGTTGAGCTTCAAAGAACTTGGCTTAATACAAATCTACAGTTACGTATTTCATAAGGTTCTTTCATTGCCTCCATGGAAAGTCTCATTTGCAGCTTAATAACTGGAGGTTTCCCTTGTTTATAGTTTGAATTTGCCTCTTTGTAGTTTCAGCCTCTGCCTGTAGTTGTGTACATATGTATGTTTCGCATTAGGGCTGCTTCGTTTCAGATGTAGCAGGCGTAGTGTAGCCCTTGGACACGTGGTGATGGGTAGCTGAGGTTGCAGGCTTGTATTTTCCTTGTGCAGCCCTGCATCCTCCCTGGTGCTGCTGTGCTCTGAGCATTTCCCTACTTAGGCTAGTTTAATGCTGAGATTTGGATTCCAGGTGAAACGATGCAAGCTATTTAGAAAGGAGGAGATGTCTGTGTGTGTGTAAGAGAAGTTTAAAATCATGCTTTTTCGCAGCGTCCATGCGATGGCAAGTTTGCGGCCCTTGCTGTTCATCCGTGTTTTGTTGGCTGCTGACAGCATTTACTGGCTTTCTGTCCCATTGTAGGAGATTGGACACAAATCCATAACGCTTTTTTTGCCCGTCTTCTGAATACTCTAGTATTTTGTCCTCATTAGTGTTCTCCATCCCTGTCACTTTGGTATCAGCTGCTTACATAATACAGGGCTCGGTCCTTTTCTTGCCTGCCCTGGTGTGCCTTGCTCCTGATGGCCCGTATCACTCTTCCCTGAGCTCCTCCACTGTCCTCGGCACTGCTTCCAGCCCCGTGCTGAGGAAGGGGGCTGTATGTTCGCAAGGAGAACACGCAGGGCAGGTTCATCATATGAACACAAGTACCTACTCGTTTCTCTCTTCTTCCTGCCCCCTCCCCTCTCCAGCCTTCATGTTTTTCCAAGAAATGGATGATGCTC